AACATTATGTAACAGATACAAGGTAGGAATAAAAAACATTTCAATTATTTGTTCAGTTCACTCATGCCAGGGGTCTCCAAACCGAGTTTGGAGACCCCTGTCTTATGCACATGAATGGTTTAAAGCTGCTTCTCACTTGATAAACAGTAACGGGACACTAATGTGGAATGAGACACTCTGACAACTGAAATCAGTAGATGTTTGAGTCAACTTTAAAGTCCAGGTGCAAAGACATTATTTATTCAGTTTGGTCACTGAGTCTGAGCTCTTAATTTAGCTCTCAAGAAAGTGCACCAGGTTGATTCATTTCACTTTGGATCCTAGATTTTCCAAATATTCACATAAATAGTTGGTTTGGTCTATAAGCTCTTCACGATATGAAGTTCTCTCTCAGTTTATTCTCTCTGTCTCAGGCAGTATTAAAGGGACAAACACACTCCTGGAGGTTTCTGCCCAGGGGATCCGGGGACGTCAAGAAGTTGCTGTTGCTAGAGGCTTGCAGTCACTTCCACTCCAAGACTGTCCTGCATAGACTTAAAACTTACTCAGTTTATGAATCAGAGTCCCTCACACACACAGTCAAGCCTATATACAAACATTCAACAGACACCTGTCATACACGCATAACCATTCATACATACGCCGTCATGGCCAATATTTCTCCATACGGCTGCTTCACGCATGCTGTGGTCAGAGGTATCCCAGAATCCTTTGGGAAGTTGGCGGAGGGCGGAGAAGGGTTTCAGACGGACCTCGCCAAGGCCCAGCGTCAGATGGGGGTGCTGACAGGCGCGCTGAGGCAGAAATTGGGGCTGCAGTTGATAGAAATCCCAGCAGTCTCCGAGCTGCCGGAGAGCTGGAGGATCGAAGACGTGGCTGTGATCCAAGGTGACACGGCGCTCATCACACGACCCCTCAAACAGCAGAGACGCAATGAGGTAAGTGGCACACGCAGGGCTGTAGGAGATGCAGACGTTACTGGGGCTCAGCAGTGTGTTTTCTCCAGGCGGAGGCGGTGAGGCGCGTCCTGAGCGAGCTGAAGCTGACGGTGCTGGAGATGGGCGACGAGGAGGGCGGGTCTGCTGGAGCAACTCTAGAAGGAAGTGATGTCCTCTTCACTGGAAAAGAGTTCTTTGTAGGCATTTCGAAACACACCAATCACCGTGGGGCAGAAGTTTTGGCTGACACCTTCAAGGTGAGCGCTGTGATTCGGTCGGATTGGATCTGTTAGCACCGGCTGATTAGAATGCCGTAATCATCGTGCACTTTATACATTGTAGATGACAGATATTTTTTAATAATGAATTTCATTGCTTTAATGCTTTGAACTGAATCCTTGCTGTTTGGTCAGATGATCACAAGGTGCCTCTCTTTTTGGTAACACTTTATTTCGATAGTCTCTTTTAGACGTTCTCCTAACCTTAAGAATGTCAACTAACAGTCATTCGAGTATTAGTACACTGTCTGCTTAGTATCTGCTAACACTTTTATTTGGATGGCGCCCCAACAGACTATAAGTAAGTTTGCAAGTATTTGTAAACATATTCTACTATTCTACCCTAACATAACAGTCTAGTAATACTCTAATGAGAGTTCGTTGACATGTAGTTACTTGTAGTTAGTAGAATGTCTAAAGTGGATTATCGAATCACTGTAAAAGCTTTGCCTGTGTAAAAAAAACCCGGCATTGCAGTGCTTGGATGTTGTGACTTGTGAGAGGTTGCTTAAACACTGAAGAGACAGGCCTAGAGCCTATGATATTCTGGTCTGTGGATATGGCTTGGGTCTCCTTTTCAGTGCAAATAGGTAAATTGCAAGTCTGATTGCTTAGAAAGGTAGCAACACCCCTCTCCTCAGAAAGCTGCCGAACTTCACGTTCATAGCATGGGCATCCTAATATTTAATACTCAGGGTTTGCCTTAGGAAGTATTACTAATAACTGGAAATTACTAGGAAAAGGCAAATAACAAAGGTCTGATGCTGCGTGGCTGTGTGTGTTCAGGACTTTGCGGTGTCCACTGTGCCGGTGTGTGGAGGCTCTCGTCTGAAGAACATCTGCTCCATGGGTGGCCCTGATACCATCATCATCAGCAGCAGTGACGGGGCCAAGAAAACACTCCGAGTGAGTATGTGCTATGTGACATAATCGGTTCATACACGTACATAGATGTATGCAGTCACATTATCAACAAGTACGTCATCAGCTGTGTGTGTGTGTTTTTTGTTTTCGCTCCAGGTGATGGAGCAGCTGACTGACCATCACTATGAGATCTTGTCTGTACCCGAGGATGTCGCTGCTAACTGCATTTACATCAGAGGTCCTGCTAAAGTGGACTACCTCCTGCACCCCACAGCGGAGGAGTGTCCCAACAGTATTCCTGTGAGTAACAGAGGATGCTCAGTAAAAGCAGTCACATCACAGAGAGTAATCAACAACACAAGCCGGTTTTGCTTGTATCATTACAGGTTTGTGTCAAGTTGAGCTTTTGTCATCAGTGGAAAACCATTCTTATAAATCAGTGGTTCTCAAACTTTTTACACCAAGTACCACCATAATGACCAACATTAAAATACAGTAATGTAGTAGGTCTTACTATTCAGCTACAGCTATGCACAGTAAAAAAAAAAAAAAACGAGGCAGTTTTATTCCTAATAAGAATATTTATTATTGTCATCCACTTTTTAAGTACAGTTGTAAGTACAGTTTGACCATTAACACCAGGATGCAAATTACGGGGGGTCTGACCCCCCCTAAAGAAGGCTTTAACACCCCTGATGGAAGTCAAAACTTCCATATGGAGATTTCCAATATGGAGATTTACTTGTAAATATTAATATGCATTTCTATAGCCCTAACTGATTTTAAAAATATAATTTTGGCAGCTCCTGAAATGGGTCGTATTGACATTACCTGAGCGGTTGAAGAATACGCTACAGCGCTCATTCAAAGACGTGCATTCATTGCTTGGATGGAGCAAGAACACCTAAAATGCATGTGTAGATTCAGTCGAGTGATAAAGTTTACCCTCTTCAACTTAATGCTGCTGAACTGAATTTTAAGGAGCAAACTATTTGCTAAAATAACCATAACATTAACAGCACCGCTGGCTGAAATACAAGCGCACGGTTCTGTCAGTCAGATGCACGTGAAAGCTGCATGTGTTACTATATCAAACACTGTGCTTTCTTTCAGAATTATCATTGGCTGGTAGAAGAACAAAAATAGGTTACATAACAGTTTTTACCTAAAAATGAAGATAAGGTAAAAGTGAATAATTACATTTTAGACACATTGTCAGTAATTTCACTAATGAAAATAAAGCTCTAGGAGAACTGTTGTGCGTCTCAGATCATCAACACACAGCGGTGTTTCAATAATGAATCCACGTTTTTAAACGAATCGAGTGAATCAATGATTCAGTGAACCATTATAAAGACAGTCACTTGCTTCGTTTCTGAATGAATCAGCCGTTTGAACGAATCGACTGAATGAATGTTTGAATGACTCACTTAAGACAGGGATTTGCTGCCATCTACTGGCGCTTTTAGTTTTATATTCAGAGAATCGTTTCTTTTTCAAATAATTTCTTATCACTATTTATTTGTATTTTGTATGTTGAATTAATAAATTTCTTTCTAAAGCTATGTATATTTCAGCTACCTTTTTGTTATTGTCTATTCAGTGTTTTTTTTCTAAATTAACACAATGATAACTATAATCTTTAATAATAACTTTATCTTTAATCGGCACATGATGTAGGCTACATGTTAATTAATCTCATTAATTTGAGATTCATTTGATTAATTAATCAGCACATTATGTAATAATTTTTTTTTAAATAATCACTTGACAGCCCTATTTAAAACATAAAAAAATAATATCTTAAAAGCTACTTGAATGCTTCAGTAAAATGACACTGAACAGATAGAATGAACATATTCTGCTGTCTCTTTCTTACAAATAAAAAGCTTAAATAATTAATAAAATTAAAATATATTGTACCTAAAAATTAAATAAAAACTGTACTGTACTTGAAAATGAAAATGTATTGTACTTAACATTTAAGTACAGTACAGTTTTTATTTAACTTTTACATAAAATACATTTTCATTTAATCTTTAAGTCAAGTCATCTTTATTTATATAGCGCTTTACAATACAGATTGTCAAAGCAGCTTTACAGTGTCAAAATAAAAGGCAGTTTTTTAATTTATAAGTACAGTACAGTTTTTATTAAACTTTTAAGTAAAAAAGTACTTGATAAAAAAAAAATATATTAATAACACAGGCTCTATGTGTAGCTAGCTGCAAGTAACAATAATGCTGTGTGACCACCAAAGCGTTTTTAGCCAGCTGAAAACACCAGGTGCTCTACTGAAAACCATAGATATGTATACGTAGATTCCTCATTAGCGACTGTTTCTATGGGCCGCTATACGTAAGCCGTCCGCTGTATTCGAAGGGTCAACTTGACGTCATTCACCATAACAGTAACATAAGTTACCAATGTTTCAAAACTTGTAATATTGATTTAATACATTTAAAAACACAAAGCAACCCATTCTCACCTGTGAAAGGTTAGCCCGTTTCTTCGGGAATTTAAATCCCGTCAGTTTTTACAACCATCAGCTTTGTGGGATTGTGGCATCTTCGAATATTCATTGATTATTATGGTGAATGACTAATTTATTTTGAACTTATTTTATGTATTAGAGAAATCTAATACATTGGCGAGCCACCCAAACCACTGCACAGCCAAATACAGCAAAATCTAACATATCGAAATCCTCTGACATTTCTCAGCGAGAATGAAAGGTGTTATTATTGTAATATTATGCACTGTAATAATTTCTCACCGGTGAATGAGACGTGAGGTAATCTGACAGAGTTGGACTCAACCCTCCACCTGCGCCATCTCTCATCGTGTCGCTGTTTGTTTAGCCTCCGGTCTGCTTGTGCGCGCTCATGTGTTTTGGAGGAGGCATGGCTTTGGAGAGTAATTATGCAGGGAGGGTGGGACCTTTAAATGTAGTCTTCCATTGAACTAAAGCTTTATAAACGCTTTTCATTACAGTTTTGAGAAAATGTTTGGTTGCTTTTTCAAGTGCACATATACTGCAAACCAAACAAGCCATTCTGATCATATATTTCTTTCATCAAAAATCACAGCCTTTGCAATTTCATAGTTGCACTAAGCCAAATTAAATCAAAACCATTGATGTTTGGTTTTATTTCGATAAGCTGGCTGTCATAGACTGCTTCATGTCTGCTAACACTTTATTTTGATGGACGATCAGCTGACTATAAGTAACTTTGCAAGTACATGTCAACTTATTCTACTAACAGTAACCCTAACCTACTGTAAGAGTCTACTAATACTGTAATGAGAGTTAGCTGTATTTGCAAAGTTACTTATAGTTCGTGGAATGTCTGTTGACTTGTCTTTCCTGTGAAAGGGGTCATATGACGCTGCTAAAAATAACATTATTTTGTGTATTTGGTGTAATGAAATGTGTTTATGCGGTTTAAGGTTAAAAAACACATTATTTTCCACATACTGAATGTTCTTTTTAGCAGCATCATATGACCCCTTTAAACTAGATGCTAGTGTCAGGAAAAATTTGAGTAAATGAAAACCTGCTTCGGCTGGCAGTTGTGTCTGCTGGCAGGTAATAGAAGAAACAGATCAAACTAAAGAAAGCTGCTTTTCTCATGGCTGATTATATGATAGGATGGCAGAAGCTGTGTTTGTTATATTTGCTGCTTCTCTGTTTCAGGCTTTCCAGCGTTTGACAGACTACACCCTGCTGCCCACCGCCTGCAGCGAAGCCTCCAGACTCGGGGCGGCGCTGTCCTCCCTTTGCCTACTCATCAACAAGAAACCCAACTATTGAGACACTCAAGTACAATCATTGCATAATCATATTTACTTTGTTTTCTTATGCATTCACTTCAGTCTGAGGTTTTAGGGGCAGAAATGGCCCAGTTAGAACTGGTTTGCTGTTGTCTGCAACTATCCATATGTTTCTCTTATGCTTTAATTCCCAAGCTCAGCTGCAGGTTTGTTTGGATTTTCAGAATGGACACACATTATGAGAGTAAATTAATAAATGGCCTTGAAATAAACAACCTTCTCTCACAGTGAAACTGAGGGGTTAAAGTGATGGTTCACCCCAAAAATAAATTCTTTTGCTCTTTACTCCTTGGGTGTTTTTTGTTCAAATTCAGGGCTTCTCCATTCTGGACCTCAAGCTCCAGCCTTGACCAAACTTGCCAGCCTCTAACTTTTTTAGCAGTCCTGAAGACCTCGATCAGCTTGTTCGTGTGTGCTTGATCAGGGTTGTGGACCTTGAGGGCCAGAGCTGAGAACCCCTGCTCGATTGACTTACAAGATGTGTAGTTTCATGGCTTCTGTAGGTTTATTATTCAATGATTTAATATCTTTTCCACCCAATTAAGATGGGCATGTTAGTGAATAAATCAGATTATATAGATATCTGTAGTGTGGCACAAGCACAAAACCAGTTTATTTCTCATGAAGGTGTCCGGGAAGAGATGGGTTTGGGTCATTGATTTTTACTGTACTTATCTAACCCTAATCAAAGCCCACATATTAACCTGTGAGAACATCATTGCATGTTCAGACCACAACATGTTAACCTGTGGGAATGTGAAATAGGTTGTATATGAGGCCACAAGCTTGTTTTGTCAAGGTAACAACATCCTTACTGTATGTTGTGGTGTCACTCTAATGTGTTTTTCAATTGTTACGTTACTGATATAATAGTAATGCAAAAAGTACTATTGTTTTTTTTTTCCATTTAGGTCAAATACCTTTTAAAAGTAATTAGATTAACTAAATCTCTATTAAAGCAATGCAGTGAATGAGAATTGTTTGCTCTCCCAGTGGTTAAATCATAGAAAAGAAAACAATGCATTCATCTCCAAAAAGGCTCAGATGTAAGATAAATAATTTTGATATGTATTATTCCAATAAAAATTTACAATTTAAATTAAAAAATTTACATTTTCTTGTACAGCTTTTTATTATTTCAGGAAAATTCCACATATACAAGCAGGGTCAGGGTCCATGACAAATTTAATTAATTTCCTCCAGGAGACCAAGGCCTACAGCACCTGTTTGGAGAACATTGTCAATAAAGATAGCAAAGAAGACTTGTATTTTTCATGAATATTTACTATTATTACTTTTTCTATTCTATCGGTTTTCTTTTTATTTATATTATTTAAAAAAAAACTTGCTATGTGTACTGTGTTAAGCTAACTGAGACTGGTTATAGCACTTGCATATTATTACTCTTGTTGATTTTGATTGCTTCTGTTGTCCTCATTTGTAAGTCGCTTTGGATAAAAGTGTCTGCTAAATGACTAAATGTAATGTAAATGAATATTTCAGTATTATCAGAATGCTCATTCTGATAGGGAGTCGCCTCACAGCAAGAAGGCCAGGAGTCTTTCTGTGTGGAGTTGCTCCGGGGGCTTCGGTTTCCACCACAATCTAAAGACATGCATCACTGGTGAATTGGAAACAAAAAATTGCCCACAGGTTTGAGTGAGTGTGTGAATGTTTGTGTGAGGCCTGCAATGGACGGGCCGTCTGTCCATGTGTCTCCTCACCTGTGGCCCGAGACGGTGCAGAGGATAAGCGTTTTGGAAAATGCATGGATAATTCTGATAAAAATATGAATTAATTTCAGTTTTTGACTAATGTATGGATATTATGTAAACTCAGAAAAACACAAGGCTTTTGTGGCAATGAAGCCATCTTTTTTGATCAGATGTTAGAGGAGAGGCTTCAGTATACTAAAAAAAATTTGTTTTGACAGCCTGTCCACAAATCATTGCCATTAAATATTTATTTTGGTGTGAGCTATATTCAGTCTATTAAAAAAAAAAAAAAACTACTCATTTCCTGGTTACCAACATTGTTTAAAATCTTTTATGTTTCACAGAAGAAAAAAATCATACAGGTTTGGAATGAAGTGACCTATTTTTGGGTCAACTATCCCTTGCCTCCCTGCCAGTGTACTGCTGCGTTACACTTTTTGCTAACCTGCTAAAGAATGACATAAATGAACCATATTCATATGTTGATGTACCAAAAGAATTTGCTTGGTAACTATCATCATCTAGAACCATAGAAGCACATTTTTTGGACATTCACCATGGTAGTGCTATGGTGTTCTTGAAATAGCTACCATGAAAATAACATGGGATATAAAAACGCTTGATTATCAATTTGACGTGAAATATTGGTCAAGACTTGATCAAGATGCTGTAACATCATTTTACGTTCAGTTTGGACGGCAATTTCTTTCAGTGGTCATTGGGTGAAAATAGGAAGTTAATGCCACACTGAAATTTAATGTATATGTAGTCCAATATGTTTGACGTTCAGTTTACATCAAATCAACGCCATGTCAAGTTTTTGACGTCAGTTTGATTTGCATATTTTACCTTTCTTTTCAACATCAGTTGACTGCCCACTTATGATCTTATGTAGGTTTTGTCCTTCCGGTCAAAGAAAGACCTAAACAAATCTCCCTACAGGCCAAAAACGCAGAAATGGAAAAAGCTGAACTACTGATTCCCCTATCTAATCTGGAGGCTGGTTCGAGTGTATCGAATAAAATGCCCTTCTATAGGGTTTATTTGTTATATCAGCAACCAGACTGGCTTTAACTAGGGTGACCATGCGTGATCTTTTTCCCGGACACGTCCTGGCCTGGATTTCTATATTGTGTAAAATGTCCAGGTTTTGGCTTTGTTTTCGTAAACCCGAGAGAGCTCTAGAGAGCAGATGCTCCTTACATGCTTTCGAATCTCTCTCGCGGTACTCTGATGTCATACACCGATCGATCTGCGCAGCACTGCTCCAAGTCCAACACACCTAATATGTGTGCGTATTTGCATCGCTTTGACAGTTCTCTGTAGATTCCACCTTCTCACGCGCCACGATTGGTCGATTATGTACAATGCCTGCATGTTATTGGTCAAACTACTTTTCGATTATTACCTTCAGCAAGTATGAGAACAGGAAAACAGCCAAAACCTAGATATTTTAGGCAACATAGAAATCCTGGCCAGGAAGTGTCCAGGAAAAAGGGCACGTAGGGTCACCCTACTTTAACAGGCCACACCACAGTTCACCAGTTCTTTATCATTAAACACCACATCATATATACCTCATATCATAATATATCATAAATACACACAAGGGATAATGAGCAACTAAACTAGAAACAAGTAATGATGATATGTAACCAAGGGAACCATGAAAAACCGGAAATAAAACACGAAAAGGAAATAACCACTGAAGAACAAAATACAAACTGAAAGTTAACTTTCAAAATAAAGAGTCCATAGGAAAAGATTTCACAGGACAAGTATAGGCAGTATTGGGTCATTCTACAGAAACGTCCACTTTTCTGTCCCTAGACTTTACAGAAATATTACAATTGAAATACACATTAGGGTTACAATATTTTTATATTTTAAAATGAAACTATGTTATTAGAAGCAGCGACTTTACAGACAGCGTAGGGATGCTGATCCTGGATGTAGAGCAGAATACTTGCAGAAAATGAAACTCAGAGTTATGTCAGAGACATTGAAACAAAAAAGAGAAATAGAATAAGCAATTTAAGTGAAAGGGGGAAGAGAAGTGAACGTAAGGCATGGAGGGTCCGTCAGCAAAGATGCAGGCAAAGAGTCAGAGCAGGAGCATTGACCCCCAATAACCTACATTGAACAAAATTATAAACGCAACACTTGTTTTTGCCCACATTTTTCATGAGATGAACTCAAAGATCTAAGACTTTTTCTATGTACACAAAAGGCCTATTTCTCTCAAATATATGATGTTTATGTTCTTTTACTAACTGTTTTCACTAGTTGGCAAATGTATGCCAAATGTAACAATTTAGTAATTGTTAATTATAGCTGAAGAATAAGTGTTTATGTTCTTATGTATGTCACTGGTGTTACATTGTGTCACTGGTGTTACTGTGTGTTTTTTTTTCTGTCACATTCTATAAAATGTGTCATGTGACATGATAATAATTTTACATCTATTGAATTCTGCTACACTCAAGAGTTAAGATTTAAAGGATTGTATCATTACTTGTTTATAACTGTTTTTCTAATATTTTCATTGTTATAGCAAATACATGTTTGTGCAAATTAACTAACATCATTCAGTCACACTTTTAACAAACCTGATTAAAATAAATAAAACATAATCTCCTTATTTGTTGCATTATCATTATTTTTATGTAACTCTGACTACATGTGCTGAAAAAAAAAAAGAGAAATTATATTTCATGAAAACCTTTAAAATTGCCAAAGAAGTAAGGTAACACCAGTGACAAAAAAAGGGTACATGCGATCTTTAAATAAATATACAAAAAATATAAAAAATCATTAAGCTGTCATTTATGTGTATTCATAAAGTCAAAAGGCAATCTAATAATGTGGTCTAAGTTTAAATGTTAAAAAAAGAAATACATTTTAAGACATCTTGACATACCAAAAGTGGACGTTTCTGTAGAATGACCCTATTATAGTATAGAGGAGGGTGATAATTAATGTAATTACTTTCTACTCTATGAATGTAGAACCGGCCAAAAAAACCGCTGACGGTGTCCTACTAGATCCATCGTGCAGAACACACCAAAAAAACTAAAACCGACCGACGCTCAAAAACCACCCGGCATTGGCCGACCGTCGGCTTAGTGTGTCCTGGGCTTTTCCATGTCCATTTTATTTGGTTCAGTTTTTTCCCCCACATTTTTAAAAAAGCCTTTAATGTGATTTTGAGGCATCAGAAATTAAAGTGTGAAGCATCATATTATTATAGTCGATTAAACAGACATTGTTATACAAACAATTTTCTGTGTTCACTCATGATTGGATGGATGAAGGTGTCTGGTATGTTGCACACGTTATGGATGGAGAAGCTAAGTTAGGCTACGATGATTTGGAAAGCACAATTTCACTTGTACTCAGAGATTATATATGTCTGTGTTAAAAGCCATTGCTGTGGTTGTTGTAAACTCACCAGGGTGCATACTATGTTGCATAACCTGCAGAAAAACAAATAAAATGTGACGGCCACTCCGATCAATGGCACGTCTGACGAACTGGGATTGAGTGCTTTAAGTCATTCAGCTGGCTTTTTCAGTAAGTGGACCGTTCCTGACTAAAGCAGGCATACTGACACTCACTATTTACAGCATATAAATATAAGGGCAGGTTACCCCAAAATGTATTCTACTTATACATGTAAGTTATGGTTTACATAACTTGGTTTACATAAACCACATGGTTTAGACAGCTAGTTAGCTTTATGCATGCCTCCAAAAACCTGATATGTCTGTATAAATGCAGTGGTAGACATTGATTAAATGTGATTAAAATGTAATAATAATGATTTTATAATGTTTGAAAGTAAATCCAAAAATAAAAACCTGAGAAAATAAGCATATTAGACAACCTGAGAAAAGAAGCAATGAATGAACCCATTAGTGGTCCTCTGCTACCATCTAGAGGTTATAATTGCAATGTCAGGGACTTTAACCAAGGAACTATATTGTTTTGAACCTTTTTTATCTACTATAGTGTCAGTTTTTGCCCGATCTCTATAAAATTTTGCATGCTTGTTTAGGACCCCATGATACAGGAGTTTGCAGTTTTATTAAGGTTTGAGTTTTCTTTTAGGATTTATAGGCTTTTCGTTAAAATTTTAGGCAGTCGTGGCCTAATGGTTAGAGTGTCAGACTTGTAACCCGAAGGTTGCGGGTTCGAGTCTCAGGTCCGGCAGGAATTGTCGGTGGGGGGAGTGAATAATCAGCACTCTCTTCCACCCTCAATACCACGACTGAGGTGAGACCCTTGAGCGAGTCACCAATCCCCCAACTACTACCCGTGCGCAGCAATATGGCTGCCCACTGCTCCGGGTGTGTGTTCACGGTGTGTTTGTGTGTTCACAGTAGTGTGTGTGTGCACTTGGATGGGTTAAATGCAGAGCACAAATTCCAAGTATGGGTCACCATACTTGGCCACATGTTACTTCACTTTAAGATTAAGACCATATTTTTTAAATGACCCTATTATAGCTGTCCAAATGCAAAG